CAAAAACGTTCTGTCGTTCTATGGCGTTGCACCTCTCCTTTAAAATTTCACACGTCCTGCCCACGCTTCTTCCTTGCGGATCCTGCCAAATACACCCCAACCCCAATTTATCTAATTCCTCTTTTAGCCCCTTAGCCCATCCCCCAATTTTCAAGTTCCTTACCTGCCAGTCGTACTAAATCCTCCCTGTCCATTTGCAAAATCCTTAACCAAAATTTTGTGACCAACCCTAAAACCTTGCTCCTCCTGCTGTCTCTCCACAGTTCCACCTCGGCTACACCATTTGCTCCGACCCTTGGTATCCCTAGGACCTTCTTACAAAATCTCCCGTGGATTACATCAACTTCTTTCCATCCCTCCTCTAATCCCCATATTTCCGCCCCATACATCAGCCCGACTCAAGGCCTCTACCTATACAATCACAGAAATACGCGGACAAACATCCATGCCTTGAGTGGGACTCGAACCCACGGTCGCAGCAACCAGGCGCTCGAGGTCCATGCCTCAGACCGCGTGGCTACTGCGGCCGGCGCAACGTGTGTTTAGAGCAGTGGTATTCAACCTGGGGTACGCGTACCCCCGGGGGTACGCGAAGACATCTTACGGGGTACGTGAAATTTAAAAATATATATATTATTTTATGATAAACACTGAATAATCAGTAATGTAATTTATTTAATTTATTTTAGATGTAGATTATATACTATGTATAACTTGAATTATGCACCAACAACTCTGGGGGTACAAAGTTGAAGAGAAATTATATCTGGGGGTACGCGAACAAAAAAGGTTGAATACTGCTGGTTTAGAGGTATTAAATCAGCCTTGTTCGACAGTTCCCACTTTGGCCACCAGATCGCAGCACCTTAATGTCTATCTCACGACTTCCCCCTCGTCCGTCAATTTGTTTACCACCACAGGTAGGAAATTTAAAAAAAATACGATTTTGGGGTCTTGCAGAATAGCACACCCTCCATATTAAATTTAATCGAAATCTGTCGAGTGGTTCTCAAGGTGGCAGATGGACGGAAAGACAAATACGACCATCCCATACTGCGTTCTCGCTGTACACTTCGTGCAAAGAACGCATAATAAACAGTAAACATACTAAGATTCATACTCAGTCATAAATCGTGTTATTGACGGAGTGTTACTTTATACATACTTATGCGGCATTTAATTAAATATGTAACATGTGTAAAATATGAAACATATCAGCAAATACAAGTATGTATCGGCAGATATAAATACATTAATTAGAAACGTTATTTGCCAATGTTTTTAAGTTGAATGGCTTTTGGGAAATAATACCGCTTGCCTGTTGAAAACAGCTTATAAACACACAAAAAATATATAAATGAGTAAAGACGATATAGTGAGGTTAGAGGGGAAGACAAAAGAATGCTGAAGAAAATGTTGGTTCTAAAAGTTACATCATGAGGAGCTTCATAATTCGTAGTCTCCGCCTAATTTTTTGTTGATCAAAAGGAAAAGGAGTATGAGATGGGCGAAACGTTTAATACGTGTGGGAGACATGAGAAACGCTTGCAAAATTTTGGTCTGTAAATCCGAATGTAAGAAATCACTTGACAGACATAAACCTCGTAGATGAAAATATATTTTGAAACTGTATTTCGGGGAAATAAAACATCTTATACGAGAGGGTAATGCTATAATTGAAATGGATCAGGATAATGACAGTTGCCAGACTCTTGTGAACATGGTAATGAACCTTCAAGTTCCATAACAGGTGAATATTTTCTCATGAAATTTTACGTTCTCGCGGCGGCGACTTCTGGGAAGTTGCGCCATGTAGTCCCGTACTCAGAGCAACATCCCAGGAAGACAATCAACTTCGAATGATTTCTCGTCAGTTTGACTCTCAGGTTTTAAAAGAATGTCTCGCACTATGCAGTTACAGGCCTGTACTTTAATGTCTATTTAAAACTATTTTGGGCAAATGTAACAAGATGGCAGATCTTAAGTTATCCACTGAGACATTGGCCATCAAGTATGGAAACGAAAGTAAATGGACAGCCTAATATAAGTGCATTTGGCCACAGCGTATTTGCTGTAGTGTTGTAAACTTCGTTCAGTCGGCAATACATGACCTCTAAATTTCCTAATGTATGACATGCACAGACAGAGGTCAGGTAACAGGGAAGGCAAGGCGAAGACCGGTACTCACAGCCTGACAGTTGCCAGTCCTCGCGACGCAGATCTGCAGCAGTCCCAGGTTCTGTACTCGGTTTGTCCAAATGACCGACACTTGCTTGTCATCTACCCATTCGACTGTGTACAGAATGTGATCCCTGAAAATAGACGACTGGCCGCTGTTCACCACTGCCACTGTACGTATAATACTCATAAATAATCACTTACAGGAAATAAATTGGTTCTTCGTTGTAGCGAAAATAATGTTCGTAAATTGGAAAGTAAATATAAATGTACATGGGTGTAATTGTTTGTATGTATATTCGAAAATATGCTAGAAGTTTCAGTCACTTAACGTAGGAAAAATATTCTAAAATCGGACTATGTGAAAGAAATAAAGAAGAAAGAAAACGAGAAACCATAAAGAAGAATTTACAAAATAAAGATTAAAAGACAGGCAGGAAAACGGAAGGAAATATAAGGAAAGAGGGAAGGAAGAAAAGGAAAAACAGAATAAACATTAAATGAACAAAGAGAGAAAAACTACTGGAACTAACTGTAAAATACTCACCAAGTCACTACGTCGACGGGGGCCAGCAGATTTACAAAGCCGGACGACAGGTTTGTGAGGTCCACCACATGCAACGTGACTTGTGGATTCGTTGTACCAGGCTGCAACACAGACATATGACAGCTACACTAGCGCTACCACCAAAGACCAAGAATATTCTTACAACCAGCAGACATTTTCAAACCGTACTAATTCGTGTGAGATGGCTTTATTTAAACGGAAAGTAAAGGGCGACCTAGCAAATTTATTATTCGTTTCATAGCCATAATTGATGCCGAAACTCATATAAATAGTATTAAAGATTCAGTTCCTACCACGAAGAAAACACAGGACGTGCCCATTACAAAGATCAACTGGTCAACGCTGTTAAGGAAATAATAGCTATTTATTCCGAGAATCATAAACCATCAATATGCTCTGTGGGTAAAATATAAAAGTATACACTGATAAAGCAATGGGTATATATAGTTACTTCATAGATTTAAAAGGTTAATTACTGAAGCATACAAGCCAGAACATATCAGTGGGTAAAGATACTTTCTACAAGTTGGACGACCGGATTTCTGTTCCTGGCAAGAGCAGTGTATTGTTTTCTTGTAACAATTGTGCCCTCGTTAACTTTGGAGGCCTCTCATTTTGTTATCCAATGGCTGCAGTGGGGAATTCTCCACTGGGTTGATGTCGGCTGGAGTGTAAAACTGACAATTGACTTCCATTAGAACCGACGTATTAAATGCGTGGACCATATACCACTGCGTCTTCTGTACTACGTGGAGTAATGCTTGAACACGCGGGGTAAATGTACCTCTCGTGAAACTTTGATGAACAACAAGGTTGCTCTTGAGGCGATAAGTTGTGACACGAATGAGATTCAAGCGTTGCTCAGGATAAACTCCATGCTTAGTCGTTTCGAGCCACTGGGATCCGTTCCAATGTAGTTAATTTATAAGTACGAGGTGCGATCGGAAAGTTTCAAGACTGTGTCAATAGCGGGCGAACCGGATTGCCAAAGACTTGCCAAAACGGCTACGGAAACCTATGAAATGCTAAAGCAAGCATTTGGGGAGTCCGCAATGGGTCGTGCACAAACTTTTGTGTGGCATTCACGTTTTAAAAATGGCCGAACCTCTGTCGATGATGACGAGCGTTCTGGACGACCATCTTCGAGCACAACGCCCGAAACTGTTACGAAGATCGACGTCGTACCATCAACGACTTGTGCGACATTTTTGGGATAGGCTATGGGACCTGTCAGCTGATTCTAAAGGAAGAACTCCACATGCGACGCATCGCAGCCAAGTTTGTGCCAAGGCTCCTGTCTGAGGACCAGAAGCAGAATCGACTTCTCGTTTGTCAGGAGCTCCAAGATCTTGCAAGAACCGACCCCAACTTCCTTTCTAAGCTCCGTGTGACTTCTTCCTCTTTCCAAAGATGAAAATTCAGCTAAAGGGAAGGAGATTTGAGACGACAGAAGAGATTCAGGCAGAATCACAGATGGTGCTTGACAGGCTGACAAAGAAAGATTTCCAGGGATGCTTCCAGGCTTGGCAGCGGTGCTGGGATCGTTGTGTTCACTCCCAGGGGAACTACTTCGAGGGTGATGGATGAATTTAATACCTGAGATAAGTGTACGGGTTTTTATAGGAACAGTCTAGAAACTTTCCGATCGCACCTCGTACGTATTTCATTTAAACTTTTTCGTGGTTATCCTGAGTCCTGTCTTCCAGATGCATTTCCTCACACCCAACCAAAACTGCTTAGTTGGACTCCTACTAGTTCGTAATTTGCACTCCCAAGACCACTGTCGATTCAGCAGATGCCAGAGCTTCATAAGTATCGAAGCAAACAAATTACTAGTGACAGTAGCCTGTAAGAGACTTATGATACCTTTCTTACTTACGGGGATAATTTTTCTGTGAGTTATCCTAGACTCCTTTTAGGACGTTTGGTATATTTACTTCATCAGAGGCCTGACCCGACACAAGGCCCCTATTTACACATTACACACACAACAGAAAGACGCATGTTTCAAGTAGGATTCAAATCCGTGATCCTAGTATTGAACTACAAAGATTCTTGGTTTAGACTATGCCAATAGCCGTTATCCACTAACTAACTAACAACTCCCTGGTAGCGGGATCCGCAGGTCCAACATCGACAACACCAAAGCCCGACACCGGCCACGATTCTGAGCTAAATCCATTCATTTGCCATCCTCACAGCCCACTTTCCCAAGATCCATCTTGATGTCATCCTCCCATCTCCTTCTCGATCTGTCCAATGGCTATTTTTCAGAAGGATTTCATACCAAAATTCTGTATGCAACGGTTGTCTTCCCCCACATGCGTGCTACATGTCCACCTCAAAGGAGCCTCCTATATCTCACTATCCTCTCACTATGCTAGGTGACCTGCACGATTCCCGCAGCTCCCCTCGTTATGTAATATTATAAACTCCGCAATTATTTCATTCTTCCTGGGTCGAAATATCTTCCTGAGCGCCTTGTTTTCAAACAAAAACAATTGTAATTTACGTTCTTTCTTCAAAGTAAGAGACTATATTCCACAACCATAAAATACAACAGGCAGAATTATTGTTTTATATATTTTGATCTTTAGTTTTTGAATTGAATAAAGACAAGCGTTTCCCAAATTTATTCTACTTTTAATTTCGTCGTGGACCTATTTTCTCTTTACAGGATCTGAGGTATTCATGGCGGAGAGTCTGAAGATGGCTGTGTTCTGGATTGTAGCGCCGTGTAGTCTAATAGACATTTACCGAGCTTTCAGAGGCCTTTGCACAGCATACGCTGTAGTGGGGCAGCATTTCCATATCAAGCTCTTGAAAGAAGATCGGCACAAGTAACTATTACATTGCACTGGACTGCATGACAATTAAATTTTAAGGCATTAATTATTCATCCTACATAGCTGTTGTTACGTGCATATTATAGGAACTGTTCTGTACCGATTTTCTACCGAATAAACATAAGGCAAGTTCTAAATCCTACATCACACCAAATATTTCCTGCCTTGGACATTTCACAGTAAAAAAATTCCATCCTAACTTTATAACAAGTGGACATGAAAATGTTAAGCCACTATTGGGCTACTTCCTGCAGGGGTTAACAAAAACGAGATCAGTTACGTATTTCGTTTTATTTCGGGCACAATTCGTGACAGTAGACGTGCGATGTTGCTCACCTTGGGGTACCTTATTTTAATGGTGTCTGAGTACTGTGATTCGAGGGTACCAGGCTGCCCATAGTGGAAGTACGAGGCAGTCTTTACGTCCAAGTCGTTGAACGTAGCGAATGCAAGCAACGTGCTGTCCGTTGAAAACCACAGCGCCGAGCCCGAACCCAGGACCTCCTCTGGAAGAGACACAAAACTTATTACGTGCTCATTGTGTTCAGATGACGACCGCTGTGAGCAGCACCCGGCCTGCAGGCCGCCATGTCAAATTACAAGATGACTACTACGCATGACTCGTGAAAGAGATGACCGTCTAGAATAGGGTTGGCAACCTGCTTTCAGAGGGCTACATCTTTTTTATGGGGTATGTCACATGATCTGGGAGTTTGACAATGCAAGAAGGGAAAAAAAATTCTGCTCCTGAGGAACACTGATATAAGTATAGAATGTATGTATTAACTAAGCAAAAGCGAGGACACTCGCAAAAACTATATTTTAATGAACCAACTTTGTAAAAATAGGCGTATATCGTTAAAATCGTGTTATTGTGCCAAGGTACATTTCCGTTCGTCAAACTATATGGCATTTAACAAAACAATGGAAATTGTTGAAGTTTTATCAAATTAGCATTTACTTGAAATCAAAACAGTTTGAACGCTGCTAACGTCGTTACAGGAAACTCAGTTGTATGGCGAGATACAGCATTTAACCGTTTTCAAGTGAATATCAGCTACACTCTTTAAGTTGAAGAAATACAAATTTTTTCTTCGACCCTCGACAGAGATATAAAAAGCCATAACGGTCCCCGGAAATAAAAAAGTTACCGACCCCTGGTCTACAGGGACTTTCTAAAGCCATGACAAACTTAATTAGGACCATTGGCCGAGATTCGAATCCGGATACGAGGATTACTAACCAAACCACACAATAACCATGATAATGACTTTTACTTACCTTATTTTACGACGATTTATCAACAACATTGTTCACTTATCGCCAAATCGAATAACGTTTTTTAATGATGAATGTGTAATGATTTTAAAACAAACTACCATGGTGTCTTGTAAACAATTACGACGCTAATTTCTTGTTTCATAACAAAACGTCAGTCGAAATAAATTTGTGTATAGCGAATAGGCAACCAGCAGTCCCGCCAGGACAGAAGACTAGGATTCCAAACTGATAATTTTATACTAGGAGGAATTGAAAGTCCCGGCGGTCCATAAGAAGTTGTACGAACTTGGAACAGGCTACGTCCTAGTAAGTAATTAAATCCGCAATCGCCCGAATTCGAAGCGGGCAGTTTTGGTAAAGTTTACGGGAGCCTTATGAAGAAATCACCTTCATACACCCAGTCAGGTACGCCGTTATAGAAGACGCCTGGAACACCGGTGAATGTGACTCGCTGC